CTCTAATCTCTTCTTCTTATTCTTCGAACTAACAAGTGGTTTCTTCCCTGGGGTTTGATTAAACAGCCCTATTTCTTGTAGTCGTCTATAAACAGTCTGTCTTGACACATTAACACATGAGGTACTATTCATAACCCTTTTAATTTCTGTTCAAGACTTAAAACGGTCCTTTAATGACATACGCTGCATTATTCGATCTTCTCTTGCCGAAGTTTTGCGGGGTCTGCCGGTTTTAAAAGCACTAACTATTTTGCCAGTATCATTGTAGGATTTAACAACTCTGCCTACAACACTCTTGGAACGTTTCACTTTCTCTGAAATCTCTCTAATGGTGTGCTTTTCCTTGTGTAGCTTCACAATAGCTTGTCTCACAGAGTAATTAAGTTTTTGGCGTTTCGCCATGGTGCCGGCTGCTGCAACGTTTACAAATGACTAAGTAAGACTTATTCTTTAGAGGAAATCAAAAAATTTGAATATAGCATACTGTTTACATTGTTTTTCTCAATTTTGTCCCATATTTTTGGACGATCCTATTTTGAAAATAAATAAATAATTGTTTTTCTATCCTTTGCAAATGATTCAAATTTTAGTATGTTATTATGGATGATAACGACTACCAGTTGTCAAAATTTCAGCTTTTCACAGTTGTTATTTCTAACAAATATTAGGTTTTAAAATTTTGTCCCTTAGTTTTGGACGCTACTGTATATATAAGCGTCGTAAATTAGCTAGACGTTAAATATGGATAGTCTAAATGATTTTCTCTTATTTATTGTATCTAATGTAACCACAAATGTATCCATACTTTTCCCGTTGTCCGCTTTTTTTATTTATTTTTTTTTGATTTAGGTCAGGAATCGGAAGTCGATTTATGGAACGGACAATAACTCGTATTTGTTGAACCCCCATTCCCTAAAACCGTTATTTAACTTCTCCCTTTAAATTTTTATTCCTCGCCCTCAATTTAGGCCTTTCATTTTTCTTTACATCTCTCTCTAGATCTTTCATACATTTCCCTCTCACCTTTGTTTCTCACTTCCCACATATAAAATACTAGCAGAAGAGCCCGGCGTTGCCCGGGGATATAACAGTAAGAGATAGATCAATTATCGACCATCATAAAGACTGAAAAATAAAAATTGACAAAGATTATTGTTTAAGGTTGACGGACATGAATGTCTTAATTAGTTTGTTTGTTTTTTTTTACGAATTGGTCAAACCCAAGCTCAAACAAAAACATTGTTTTCAATCATTATGAGTCTATCGATTGAATAGAATTTTAGTGTATCTGTGCCAGTTTGTAAAAATTTTTTTAGTTTTCTTCTATCGTGAGATTTTTTGCCGTTTATGTTGAGGGTCCAAAATAGCCCATAATGAGATATATATATATATAACTTTTAAGCGTTTCACCCCATTCTGGCGACAGAATCGAAGCCACTAGGACGCAAATTGGTTTCAGAAAATTTGGAGCAAGATCAGATAGGAGTTTTAGAAGAAAGGATGAGGAGAAAATGTAGGGATAGATCAAGGCAAAATGAGATGTCGATTGACATTGCATTTGAATAGCTGGAGATTATAGCTCTCAGGGAAACTTTGGAATTTAGGGAAGGGAGTTCCACAGGCGAGAGGTGTGAGACATGGGTCGCTATTGGAGTAGAATAGATGGCTACATTTAGGAGTTTCACAGTGAAAGGGTGAGATATAGATGCCAGCCTCACAGGGCGCTTGAACTCATGTGTGTCTGGGAACCAGCGAATGCAGCTTCTCGGAAAGTATTTGTAAAAAAGAGAGAGAGAGAAGCGACGACGCGTCTGTGAGAGAGCGACTGTAGACGAGATGCCAGAGCAGGGCCAATTATATTGCATATCCACCTCTGGAGTCTATCAAGAACCCCGAGGCAAACAGAAGGGGCTACAGACCATATATGGCAGCAATACTCCATGCAAGGACGAATTGTTGATTTGTAGATCTGGAGGATCGATTCCGGGGAGAAAAATTTATAGCATGACATAAAGGATTACAAATAAACGAAAACAAGTTCTAGGAAGCCATAGCAGAACTATACTTATATACAATTTTAGAAATTTTCTGTTGGGGGCGGATGATATTTTTTAAACAGATAAACTCAATTAAACCTGTCTTCACCAGTTTTTAACAAAAGTTCATTAAATTATGATACAGGAAATCAATTTACAATAAGTCAAAATTATATATCATGACCACCCCTAAAATATATATATATTCAAACAGGTTTGGTTAAATAATTTAAACATGTCATCTCGATTAGTTTTCGTTATGTTCATTTCAAGTTCACAGATTAATTTTTTGGTAGCCTGAGAAAATTAATTAAGATAATAAATCCTGTATTGTCTTTATAAATCCTCAGTAGTCTAGACCTAAACAGGTTGGACTTTAAGTATAGTTTTTTAAATTAATTATCACTTTTTTATATTAAAGGACTATAAGCGAATTACTTAACTTGATTGAATATTAATCTTTTCTTGGTTGAAATTGCCAAGACTTAACGTGTTAAATCTGAAAGAAAAAAGAAAAATTATTAGACGCTTAAACTTAATTTAAAACTATTAAAGGACTGAAAGCAAAAACTGGTGTCCTTTGACAGGATTCGAACTAAAATAGTCTATAAAACGAATATTTAGAGGAAAATTTTTTTTTTATCTATAACACCAGAAGGGTAAATATTTTTTGTTCCGGAGATTGTTTATTATAAACAGAGCATTTAACTTAAACGCTTGTATCTATAAAAATTTATTTTAAACCTAAAAAATGTCTTTAATAAATTGTCGGAATTTTGTCCAATACTAGGTAATGTATGACGTAATTTGTTTATCATTTGATACGCCGCGTGAGCAGTTATTCATTTACTGAGATTCATGGAAGATTGAAGTTTATAAGGAGTAAATTCCGACCTTGCTTACAAAACGCTCTGCTTTGTTGGTGCCTAATGTCCGGGCACGTCAAGGGAAATGACGACGTTCCGTAGAGGATGCAGGTTCGATTCCTGCAAAGGACGAATATTTTCTTTGAAAAAATTGTTTTGGGTAGATTCAGGCCGGTAAATGTTATTTAATACTGTTTATTATAAACAGATATATTTATTTAAATACTTGTATTTATAAAAAATGAAAAAAATAAAATGTCTTCTATATATATATATATATATATATATATATATATATGTGTGTGTGTATCATACACAGACGGACTGTTTCTCTGTATCACAGCTCATCAGTGTGGCTAGACATGAGATTATAGCTTTCAAACTGAGGTCGAAACCTGACCGATTTGAAATCAGTTGGAGACACATCGTCCTTTAGGGTATTTTCAATTTTTATATTTTGTTTTTACTAGAGTATTAGGATGGGTGTCCTTTTAGTTCTAAAAACCACCACATTACATAAGCACAGTACATAGACAAGCATTCATTGGTTAATCTAGCTTAATTGGTTAAACTAGCTCGCTGATTGGTTTTTTTAGTTCCGACCAATCAAACCGCCTGCACGCGACAAATCTGTTTTATATTTTAATCAATATGCAAGGAGCCTACCACGTGATTCAAGAGCCATATATAAACAAAACACGTGTAAGCTCCCTCGTGTTTCTTTTTTCATTCATCTTTTCCCAGGCCGCCAAGATGTAATCTTCAAGAACTCCGTCTTGACCAATGCAGTCAGACGTTAAAGACCGTTTCCAACATTCACGCAAGAACGAACTCCTGAAATCTTTGTCTGAACTTTTACCAACGTGTACAATACACAATTCCAAACATGCAACAACTCATTCTTCTACAGTTTAATAATCAACTTCTTTTTATGAGCTTAGGTACAAATATTATTGTTGTTTAAGAGACACAACTTCTGTCTAACATTTTCAGTTCACATGCATGTAAATCAAATACTGAATAAATTCAATTGTTATGTTTTAAATCATTACGTTCTGTTTTGTATTTTTATACTATGTAAACTATTTAAACCTGTCAAGTATAAAAAAGCATTGCGTCCACACATTGTCCTTAATCCCAAAATTCCTCCCCCAAAGTTAATATATATATAGTACACACCTTTAAACAATATTGGTAACACTGTCGTTTAGTTTCCTCATTATATCAGGTGTATATTTTTGGTTTGAGATTTTTAATTTTCTAACAAACAACATTGGCAATATAGTAGACAAAAACATGGATTTCCTCAATCGTTTTTATGTAATAGTATTGGAGATTGATATGTCAACCTCCAAATATATTTACTAAGAACAACAGTGGTGTCATTTTGGTGTCTTTATATTCAATGTTAGATTGTTTTTGGTTATCATTGTAGTCTGGATAGATAACTAGATAGATGGACAGACCGAGATCGATATTAAAAGACTAGGTAGCCAGGTGTTAATGGTGGGTAAATGGAAAACAAGACTGGAAATTCTCTGGTGCCATGTGCTGTTCTGAGAAAGAATTCCTTCAGACTAAATAACGGTTTCGTGAGTTGCAACCAATTTTAGATATAAAAGAAAGTAGAAAAAGAAGAGAAATATAACAAACGCCAGAATTAATTAGAATTAAATATGGCAAGAATTAGATAAATACGAGATAGATGGATATGAGGATTAGATAAATATGGGATCGATGGATATGAGGATTAGATAAATAAATACGAGATAGATAGACGTGAGGATTAGATGGATAAATACGAGAGAGATGGGCGTGAGGATTAGATGGATAAATGCGAGAGAGATGGGCGTGAGGATTAGATGGATAAATGCGAGAGAGATGGGCGTGAGGATTAGATGGATAAATACGAGAGAGATGGGCGTGAGGATTAGCTGGATAAATGCGAGAGAGATGGACGTGAGGATTAGCTGGATAAATGCGAGAGAGATGGACGTGAGGATTAGCTGGATAAATGCGAGAGTGGTGGGCGTGAGGATTAGATGGATAAATACGAGAAGACTTATATAGATACATACGAGAAAGATGTATATAAGTATTAGATAGATATGAGGACATAGAGTGAAATAGAGAATGAAATGATAGAGAGAGAGAGAGAATGTGGTAGATAGGAAGAGAATGAATGAGTGATTAAAAAGACAGAATGATATAGAATAATAATAATATCAACTGTAAATTCACAAGACGTTTTTGAGGTGGAAGGTATGAACAAATTTGCCGAGGCCCTCTTAAGCATATAGTTGCTACCATTTTTCTTTAAGATAGTAATCCCTTGAATATGTTTTCAGGCAATCTTTTCCCAATCTATGTATTTTTGAGGATCTGCCTCTGAAAATCTGATTAAGAGCCAAGAAAGGGACTCGTTTTGAAGAAAATTGCTTTTGCTTCAGTTATTATATCAATATTGTAATAAGTATTAATCTGGCTCTGGGTAAAATGTTTCTTAAAACAAGAAAACGCATACAATTCCCAGTGTTCCAAAAATACTTGAATGCATTTTGCATTGCAGTTCAGTTAAATGTCACGGCATATTACCTGTAAAACAGGGTTAGACCAATACAAAATTTCTTTCTTGATTAAAAGTTTAGCCGATAAAGAATATGAGTATGGTTTTCATAATGACTACTTATAATTTTAAACCGAACCTTTTCTTTCGTCCACCGGGGTAGATTTTTCTAGTTCCACGTACCATGCCTCTTCCGGGGTGTTTCGGTTGTTTCCCTTAGCTCTCCAAGCTTTTTTGGTTCACCACTGCTGTGGCCTGGCATTGAACTCACAACTCTTTGTTTCTAGTCACTAGACCAGGACATATGGCCCAGTGGGTCAAGGACGGTGGTTAGATCCAGTGACTAGATCCAAAGAGCTGTGAGTTCAGTACCAGGCCACAGCAGTGGCGAACTAAGAAACTTGGCGTGTTGAGTTAAAACGGAAAATAACTGAGAAATCCGGAAGAGGCGTGGCACGTGGAACTAGAACAACCCCCCCTCCTCGGTGGACGAAATAAAGGGTTCCGTTCGAAATTCCAATCACTCGAAGAAAGCCGAAGCGTACAACGGCCGAAATGTTGTAAATATGGCAATGAAGATAAGACTAACAATCCGAATAATTTTAAGACATTTTATGTTTATACATTCTTTTTATAGATACAAATATTTAAGTAAATGCTCTGTTTATAATAAACAGTATTAAACAATATTTACCGGCCTGAATGTCCGAGAAATATTCATAGAAAATGTTTGTCCTCCGACAGGATTCGAACCTGTATCCTATACAGAACCGTCATTTAGCTTGACGTGCCTTTACCCACGAAGGAGCGTTCGCTTTAGCAAGGTCGAATTTACTGTTTTTAAACTTCAATCTTCCATGAATCTCTCACGTACATTCATATCTGTTCATGGCGTATCCAAATGTAAACAAATGACGTCACACATTATGAAATGGACAAAGTCCGACAATTATTTTTTTAAGAAATTTAATCATGAGCTATTGAATTTTCCTGTAAAATGCGTAAACCATCTTCTAATCGTCCAGTAGATTCTCAAAAATGAATTAAATTAAAAAAAATTAAACTTGCCTAAAAAATCGTTAGCGGCAAGATTTCTTTCGAAAAACTTACAGGACATTGGCGATCATGGCTCTCCTCAATTTTATAGCAAAATGACGAACAACACATTTTATCTGTAGTTGAAGCCATAAAATCGTGTTCAAAATATTTAGATTTCGGCATTAAATAACTATTGTGGAAAACCTAACCTACCTACAAATGGACTATTCCACACTTATATACGTTTACTTTTACCGAGAATATAGTATTAAACCTTATATCCGAGTCCGAGTTATCTTTTATGGTCCACACCATAACAATAACTCATAGAGGTGTTGATATGCTGCTAAACAAAATCAATCAACCAATCTAATGAAATTTTCATGTTTCTTAATGCTTTGCTTAGATTTTGAAAAGCATCTTTCGTATAACCCAATGCGCCTTCAGATTTCTGTGTCGCATTTTCCGTCTTCTGTTTAAACACTTGACAGGAGGAGAGTAAAAATAAATGATGAAGCGGAGACTGATATTGATCGATTAAGAGAGAGAGAGAAACATATATATATATATGGCATAATGAGAAGCCACGTATACTTTCTTAATATCAGTGACGTTCCATATCACGTGACGACCGCGTCTCGCGACGGACGCTACTTGCTAACAAACAGTAATTTTAATTTATTTGTAACAAATAGTTATTTCTGATGAAAGATTGAAGACAATCTGAAATATTAAATATATATATAAATAAATAAATACTTTCATAAAATAAAACATTATTATTTTTTTAATTTGCAACTTTCTCTCTCTCTATATATATATGTATATATATATATATATATGTAATATGTGTGTGTGTGTAAAGAGACGAGATGGAAATAGCGAGATACATATATTAGAATAGGTTGCGAGAGATATGAAGAGACTGGGAATGAGAGAGATGAAAAGAGAATTATATACAAAATGAATGAGAGAAAGAGAGTGAGATACAAAGAGAATAAGATATAAAGAGAGTGAGATATAAAGACCATGAGAGAGAGAGAGAAGGAGAGAGATATAAAGACCATGAGAGAGAGAAGGAGAGTGAGATATAAAGACCATGAGAGAGAGAGAGAAGGAGAGTGAGATATAAAGACCATGAGAGAGAGAGAGAGAAGGAGAGTGAGATATAAAGACCATGAGAGAGAGAGAGAGAAGGAGAGTGAGATATAAAGACCATGAGAGAGAGAGAGAGAAGGAGAGTGAGATATAAAGACCATGAGAGAGAGAGAGAGAAGGAGAGTGAGAGAAAAGACCATGAGAGAGAGAGAGAGAAGGAGAGATATAAAGACCATGAGAGAGAGAGAGAAGGAGAGTGAGATATAAAGACCATGAGAGAGAAGGAGAGAGAGAAGGAGAGTGAGAGAGAAGGAGAGAGAGAAGGAGAGTGAGATATAAAGACCATGAGAGAGAAGGAGAGAGAGATATAAAGACCATGAGAGAGAAGGAGAGAGAGATATAAAGACCATGAGAGAGAGAGAGATATAAAGACCATGAGAGAGAAGGAGAGAGAGAGATATAAAGACCATTTTGAGAGAGAGATATAAAGACCATGAGAGAGAGAGAGAGATATAAAGACCATGAGAGAGAGAGAGAGAGATAAAATTCATGAGAGAGAGAGAGAGATATAAAGACCATGAGAGAGAGAGAGAGATATAAAGACCATGAGAGAGAGAGAGAGAGATAATTCCTAAGAGAGAGAGAGAGAGAGATATAAAGACCAAGAGAGAGAGAGAGAGATAAAAGACCATGAGAGAGAGATATAAAGACCAAAAAATAGAGATATTCCATGAGAGAGAGAGAGAGATATAAAGACCATGAGAGAGAGTGAGAGTGAGATCGATATAAATCCTCGTACTTCTTTGATTTTGATGTCTCTAGTTCGCCTTCTTTTGCCTCAAGCCTGTTTGTCCTATAGGAGATTCACCAACATATGGGGGGGGGACTAATATTATATATCAGTTCAGTATTCTAACAGAAGAGGAGGATTCCTGCCTTTCCCAAGGGTATTAACACGTAATGGATGCAATTGGAATTCTTTCCAAAGGGTATTAGAATTCCAGTCGAATCCATTACGAGCTAATCCCCTTTAATAATCCTTTTATTCTCCCTCAACTATGGGTAAATAAGAAAAATCTGCCTCGTCAGTCATGTATCGAAAGATACATGATCACCTAGGTGTGTATCCTGCATGGCAAATAAGTGACTGATTCTAAAGGAGGATAGAATGTGTGACACTGAGATCCGAAGACATATTGGGACAGCCTAAGACACATTTCAAAAGCTAAGCACAGTGTTATGGGACAGAAAATTTTTGTTAGAAAAAAATAAAAGACCACTGAACTTTTACGTGATATCTGTTCTCCTGTATTGCAGGGAATCCTGGACAATCTTCTCAAAATGAAAAAAAAAAAAAAAAAAAGACTTGAATGTGGTTCTACAGAAAGATGTTGAGGCTAACATGGGCCGAACATGTGAGCAACAACGAGGTTTTGGATAAAATGGAGACAAAAACGACACTTATACGTAACATCAGAAAGTGGCAGTTGAAATTTCCGGGACACGTAATGAGGAAAGAGGGCTTGGAAACTCTGATACTCACAGGACGGAAAGAAGAACAGAAGAAATCAACGCGTCACGTACTTGATGGGCTTGAGAAAATGGATGACAGAACAGGATTTGACAGAAATAACAAAAAGAAAAAAAAAAACTTATTAAGAGCTACATGGTACATGAAGATGTGGAGAGCCATGATTGTCTACGTCATGAAGGGACACTATACATAAAAAGAAGACACTTCCGTGAAGTCAAAAAGTCAAAACTCTATGTACAAATATGTTATACAAGTGTCTGACTTAGTAACATTTCATTTGTAGCACCGTTGATTCAGTAACAAGTGTCGTTTTACGTTCGACCAGTTTATAATTTAGTTGATGTTGTTGGTGGTGGTAGGGGGTCTGCGCATGCGTGTCATCTGATATGATGAAAATCAGGCGGGTTAGAGCGATGACTCATGGGAGAATCGATGCATGCATCTAGATCGGCAGATTAATAGGATTGACAGGAGGAGAGTAAAAAAAAAAAATGAGGAGTGATGAAGAGGCGACTGATATTGATCGATTAAGATATATAGAGAAAAACATGGATAGATATAAAGAGACGAGATGAATATTGACAGCTTGAAATCGCGAGATACATAGATTACAAGAGGTTGCGATAGATAGGAAGAGACATAGAGAGATATAAAGAGGGTGGGATAGACATATAAGGAGAATGAGATACAGAGATAGAAAGATAATGAGATAGATATAAAGAGAATGAGAGAGAGAGGAAAAGAGAATTAGATATAAAGAGAATAATACAGAGATAAGGAGAATGAGAGAGAGATATAAAGAGAATTATATGTAGAGAGAATGATATATATATATATATATATATATATATTATGAAATGGACAAAGTCCGACAATTATTTTAAGAGATTTTTATGTTTACACATTCTTTTTTATAGATACAAATATTTAAGTAAATGCTCTGTTTTATAATAAACAGTATTAAACAACATTTACCGGCCTGAATGTCCGAGAAATTTTCATGGAAAATATTCGTCCTCCGACAGGAATCGAACCTGTATCCTATACGGAAGCGTCATATAGCCTGACGTGCCTTTAACCAATTTGGCCACAGAGGAGCGTTCGGTTAGCAAGGTCGATTTTACTGTCTTTGCCCATTTCATAATGTGTGACGTCATTTGTTTACATTTGGATTCGCCATGAGCAGATATGAATGTACGTGAGAGATTCATGGGCGATTGTAGTTTAAAGACAGTAAAATCGACCTTGCTACCCGAACGCTCCTCTGTAGCCAAATCGGTTAAAAGAACATCAAGCTAAATGACGGTTCCGTATAGGATACAGGTTCGATTCCTGTCGGAGGACGAATATTTTCTATGAAAATTTCTCGGACATTCAGGTCGGTAAATGTCGTTAATACTGTTTATTATAAACAGAGCATTTAGTTAAATATTTGTATCCATAAAAAGAATGTATAAACATAAAAATGTCTTTATATATATATATGAAGATAAATGAGTTGGATATAAGGAGAATGAGATAGATATAATGATAATTATATATAATGAGATAAGATGAGTGAGATAGAGAATGAGAGATATATAAAGAGAGTGAGATATATATAGATAGATAGATATAAAGAGAGTGAGATATAGATAGATAGATATAAAGAGAGTGAGATATATAGATAGATAGATATAAAGAGAGTGAGATATATATATAGATATAGAGAGTGAGATATATATATAGATATAGAGAGTGAGATATATATATAGATATAGAGAGTGAGATATATATATAGATAGATAAAGAGAGTGAGATATAGATAGATAGATATAAAGAGAGATAGATATATAGATAGATAGATATAAAGAGAGATATATATATAGATAGATATAAAGAGAGTGAGATATATAGATAGATATAAAGAGAGTGAGATATATAGATAGATATAAAGAGAGTGAGATATATAGATAGATATAAAGAGAGTGAGATATATAGATAGATATAAAGAGAGTGAGATATATAGATAGATAGATAGAAAGAGAGATATATATATAGATAGATAGATAGATATAAAAGAGAGTATAGATATATATAGATAGATATATAAAGAGAGTGAGATATATATATAAGATAGATAGATAGATAGATAGAGATGAGATATATATAGATAGATAGATAGATATAAAAGAGATAGAGATAAAGATATATAGATAGATAGATAGATATAAAGAGATATATATATATATAGATAGATAGAAAGATAGGATATAAAGAGATAGATATATATATAGATAGATAGATAGATATAAAGAGAGAGATATATATATATATAGATAGATAGATAGATATAAAGAGAGGAGATATATATAGATAGATAGATAGATATAAAGAGAGTGAGATGAGATATATATATAGATATATAGATAGATAAAAAGAGAGTGAGATATATATATAGATAGATATAAAGAGAGATAGATATAGATATATATATATATATATAGATAGATAGATAGATATATAAAGATAGATAGATATATATAGATAGATATATAGATAGATATAAAGAGAGATAGATATAGATAGATAGATATAAAAGATATATATATAGATATAAAGATAGTGAAATGAGATATATATAGATAGATAGATATAAAGATAGATAGATATATAAAGATAGATATATATAAAGATAGATATATAGATAGATAGATATAAAGAGAGTGAGATATATAGATAGATAGATATAAAGAGAGTGAGATATATAGATAGATAGATATAAAGAGAGTGAGATATATAGATAGATAGATATAAAGAGAGTGAGATATATAGATAGATAGATATAAAGAGAGTGAGATATATAGATAGATAGATATAAAGAGAGTGAGATATATAGATAGATAGATATAAAGAGAGTGAGATATATAGATAGATAGATATAAAGAGAGTGAGATATATAGATAGATATATAGATAGATATATATATAGATAGATAGATATAAAGATATATAATAGATAGATAGATATAAAGATAGATATATAGATAGATAGATATAAAGAGAGAGATATATAGATAGATAGATATAAAGAGATATAGATAAAGATATAGATATATAGATAGATAGATATAAAGATAGATAGATATATAGATAGATAGATATAAAGAGAGATAGATATATAGATAGATAGATATAAAGATAGATAGATATAAATAGATAGATATAAAGATAGATAGATATATAGATAGATAGATATAAAGATATATAGAGATAGATAGATATAAAGATAGATAGATATAAAGAGAGATAGATATAAAGATAGATAGATATAAAGAGAGTGAGATATATAGATAGATAGATATAAAGATAGATAGATATATAGATAGATAGATATAGATAGATAGATATATAAGATAGATAGATATAAAGATAGATGAGATATAAAGATAGATAGATATAAAGATAGGATAGATATAAAGATAGATATATATAAAGATAGATAGATATATAGATAGATAGATATAAAGAGAGATATATAAAGATAGATAGATATAAAGAGAGATAGATATAAAGATAGATATAAAGAGATATATAAAGATAGATAGATATAAAAGAGATAGATATATAGATAGATAGATAAAAGAGAGATAGATATAAATAGATAGATATATAAAAGATATATATAAATAGATAGATATAAAGAGAGATAGATATATAGATAGATAGATAAAAGAGAGTGAGATATATAGATAGATAGATATAAAGAGAGATAGATATAAATAGATAGATATAATAGATAGATATAGATAGATAGATATAAAGAGATAGATATATAGATAGATAGATATAAAGATAGATATAGATAGATAGATATAAAGATAGGATAAAAGATAGATAGATATAAAGAGATAGATATATAGATAGATAGATATAAAGATAGTGAGAATATATAGATAGATAGATATAAAGATAGAGATATAGATAGATAGATATAAAGAGAGATAGATATATAGATAGATAGATATAAAGATAGATAGATATAATGATAGATAGATATAAAGATAGATAGATATAGATAGATAGATAAAGAAAGATAGATATATAGATAGATAGATATAAAGATAGATAGATATAAAGATAGATAGATATAAAGATAGAAGATATATAGATAGATAGATATAAAAGATAGATAGATATATAAAGATAGATAGATATAAAG